CACGCACTCAGCCAACAGTACACTCTGACGTTAACAGATGCTTGGCAGCATTGGACGTTTTCCATCCCAATACCCCCACTACTCTCCTCCAACAACCACAGGCTGTTTGCACTGTGATCATTAAAATACACAAGACAGAAAGCACCTGTGGGCCAAACAGTCACTAGGAATACCTGCCCTTGTCTCTTTTTGATCAAATATTTGGATCCTTGATAAAAGATCTCAGTCTGCTGAAGCTCAGCCCAGACATTCTCAGATGGCAGGTCGCCTCGGAGCTCATCTCTGCTCAGCTGCCGTTTAAACCGAGAACAATGTTGGAGTGTTACCGTCCCCATACACACACACACACCTCCATCCCCCTCCCCACACACACACACACACACACACACACACGCACACACACACACACGCACACAAACACACAAACACAGAGACACACACACTCTCTCACAAACACACATTCCTCTGGAGCATTATCTACTAAAGGCAGTCATGCAACAGGCCCCTGGCACAGAACTGTGCCCTTGTCCTGTGGGCAAAGAGGGCCTGGACCTAAATGCCAAGTTAATTCCAAGGAGGAAAGGCACATGATAACTATTGGAAACTAGCAGCAATAACTTAACATGGCTATGGTTGGCTGTGCACTGAACAAAACATTTCCAGCACAGAAATTCACTTTCCTTTCACGAGGATGGGCTCTGATAAAACAGAGCAAAAGCACAATGCACTTACAGTTGGACAGAAAGAGAATTGAATCTCTTCGACAAAATAACTCATTACAAATTTAGCCAGGGCCAAACTGATAGAGCACACTAACAGCACTAAACTGACCCTGTGAAACTACTGAGATCATAAAGCTGTCGAGGCTGAAGACTGACGCAGTACCCAATATGACATAAAATCTAATGGAGGGAAATCTGCTTTTCATGTAACAGAACAAATTAGGAATTCATACACAAAGTTGTGTACATACTATTACAGCTATTATTTCTGACAGTTTCCACTCCCCACTGTGATTTATGGAACAGTGGAATATTTTCTGATGAGAATAAAAAACAGGAACACTAAAATGTGGAGTTACATGCAAATCCCATTGAGCAAAACTGTTTCCTATACTTTCCAAGATCAATATTCAATGTAACACTCATACCAGAGTAAATACTGGTAGGAGTAGTAGTAACACAATAGGAGTGGTGTTGTCACAATACTTAAATTGCAAACTTGACACTACTACATAATCCGTTTGGGCTAAACTGTGACTAAACCAGGAATCAAACCAGGACCAAAATAGGACCAATCCAAATCCAAACCAGATTAAGTGTGAACATAGCCTAAGTGAGTTTTTTTGGAAGGATAACCTGGCGAGACCTCAGCGCACTCTGCAGTAGCTGGAATACGTCAGACCACTGCAGCTCTTTGATCCCTCTCTTTATGGGCGATGTTAGTGGGAAGGGGGACTGGACCATTACAGTAACACACCTCTCCCTTTAGCTGCCCAGAATGTCTATCACTTTTTTTAGAAAGCAAACAAACCACAAGAGGAAAATAAAATATTTGCCAGTTTAAATGCTGTGCGAACACTTGGAGACTGTATAGGACTCTCCTCAAAGGGCCAATAGATGCATTATACCTGGACTGGTAGGGAGGGGTGTGTGACGTTGGAATGCCAAATCCTGAAGGAATGTTATTTATTTTCACAAACACCCCAAATACCCACATACCTGAACTCAAGAGCACTTTACCCATTTACATTACCAGCTAAGAATACTGGACATGTGGCCTGATGCACTCACAGATTCTAAGCCAATCAGAGAGCTGCGCTGCCTCCTCTTATCTACCAGCACCTGAATGTCTAGCCCTCATATCACAAAGGTAACAAGAGGGAAGCCACAACACAGTTCACACGGCAGGTCTTGAAGGCCAATTCAGGTCCTTTTTTATTTTTTCAAATAAGATTTTTATTTTTTATTTTTTGAGGCAATTAATATTCCAAGTGAAATGTCACTTAAAGGTCATACATTACAAAAATAGATTCTTGTGAGCTTTAAGTCAGAACATTGTTAACTCATCAAAAACATACAGGGAGTTGTGTTTATTTTCATTCACACATGTTTGAGTAACCCTTTGCTATATCTTGTCTATATCTCCAAAGCTCAAAATGCACTGTTCCACCTTGTGATGTCATATAGTGGTAGTTTCAATTTAACTGCTACCTTTTACTATTTGTTTAGTAAAAACTGGCAATTGCAGGGCTGAAACTGTCCAAATGATTCAAGTGAAGGTGAATGGAGTTACAGTAAAATACTTCCTGTATTACCACATGACATCACAAGGTGGAACAGAGTGTTTTCTGTTTGAAATAAGAACTCAGCCTAAATATGAATGGTCTGAGTGGTAAACATGTGTGAATGAAACAAAACACAACTCCAGGAATGTTTGCAATGAGGAAACAACGCTAAAACATAGATTTGAAAATAGCACAGTATGGGCCCCTTAAAATCATTTGTGTGTGAGCCTAACAGCCCTGAAGTGGCCTGATATGATATAATATATATATATATATATATAAATCATCTCTCTTTCATCTTACATAAGCAAAAGTTTATATTTTATTTTTGCCACACCCAAAATACCAATTTTAAAGTTTAAAATGAAATTTCTGTCTAGCTCCTCTGCTGTTGTCTGGCATTTTATTGTTTGTTCTTGCCTTTTCCTAGTGAAAAATGTCTTGCATTACGTAACCTACGTGTTCAGACTGCAGTCACTTAGCAAAAGATCAGATTTTAATATGATTTAGTATCACATCTGTAAGTGGCCTGGGTTTCATTTGATAAAAACTGATTGGCTGTTCACACTGTCATGGAAAAATCTGATCCAGGTCACATTTGAGCAAAAAATCAGATTAGACCTTCGGTATGAACATAGACGAGACGCAACACATCATTGTATTCAAAGCACATGTTAGACAAATCATAATTCCTTAGCACAAAAATATGTGGTATTTTTACATCTGGCTTAAGCAGATTGACTCTAGTGTCTAGACAGGAGTGTGTATCATCACAGACTTACAGGGTTTCACGCCGATTCAGAAAAAAATGAAGGCATTAACTTGAAAGAGGAAAAGGAACTGAATAACTTCTTCCACCCACTTCAGAGCACTGGAGTCAATGTGTCATCACCTGGGCATTTAGAGCTAGCAACATCGACGGAGGAGAGCTGAGCCAGCCAAAGCAGCAAACAGACATAGGTCAGTAGAGGTTACTTACTGATCTAAGTTATAAAGTTGTTTCCTCATCAAAAACATACATGTAATTGTGTTTTGTTTTATTCACACATGTTTAACACACAAATCCTGAATATTTAGGATGGATGCTTCTCTCAAGAGAAGACACTCTGTTCCATCTTGTTATGTCATGTGGGAATCCAGAAAACGCTCTACTTTGTTTTTAAACTCAATACCCTTTTGCTCTCTATATTCATTTGGATATTTTCAGACCTGGAACTGTCAATCTCTGCTGAACTAAAAGTAAAAGATAGCTGTTAACTTGAAAACTACCACTACATGACATCACAGGTATGTTTTTGATGAGGTAGCATCATTATAACATGGCTTAAAGTTCACAAGAATCTGTTTTGTGTAATATGGGACCTTTAAAGATCTACTATGTAAGTTTTCAGGATGAGGGTCTGCTTGTTTCCGTGGGCATGTTATTGTTTTGCCTAAAATGTTCAACAGTATGGCATTAAACTTATCCATCTATTAGGCCTATGTATTCAGTTACATTTGTTTTTATTGCTGAAAAATGCTCACATTCTTACTGTGTGTGGGGTTACTGCTCCACAGATTATTGTCTGGGTTGCAACACTTGCTTGTTTCCATGGAGATAGATAAGTTTAATGTCATTCTGTGGAACATTCTAGACATAACATCTCCATAGAGACAAGCAGGTGACAGTCAGACTACCAGAAAATTTTCATAGTGAAGCTTTAAAGATGGGCTGATTATAGTACTCTTCCTCCTTGAGTAGTTGGGTTGACTAGTTCTTTAGCATGTATTCACAGCTGGTTGCTCTGCTTGTTACCAGAGTTGTCCAATGTCCACACAAGAACTACTTTGAAGAGTGGTGTGTAATTTCATAATTTCAACATTTTGAACCTACAGAGAGAATACACCTTACCTTTAAGTAATCTAATCTTCTGATGACTAACGAAACATCCTTGTCATCTTATGTATGTAATTGATGATCTAATTGACTGATAATGTATGAAAGTAATTAACAGTCCTGACAGATGCCTGTAGCTTTGAAGGTAGTAATATACCCTTATGTTGACCCTGGCGACAGTTACAACACGTGTAGAAGCCCATTTCCTTTTCCTGGTATCTCTCCCACATGTCCAAGAACAGGATGGATAAGGATGAGTAAACTCATACTCAAAATGAGGAGGAGGCAAAATTCTTTCCTGTTACAATAAACGCATTTGGGACACTGTTTATGCACACAGATTTTAATCCACTGCAACTCACCAAATAACAGTCATGACAGAGTGCAGACTAAACAAATGGCCCAAACTTCAAAGCAGTCAGATATAAAACTGACCAGTCCTTCTGTGCATGTCGGCTAAGTCTTATCCTTTAAAAGGAACAGTAAAACAAATTCTTTGACAATAAAAACGTGGAACAGGCTATGTCAGAAAATTAAATAAATCTGAAAATCAGGGCTAAACCAATAGCCCACTGAGCATGCTATTACAGACAACTGCGTAAAGACAGCCACTTGACATTTCAATGGATGAACTCTGCTCATGATACAGCTCCCGGTTATTCAGACAGTTTGATTGAAATGTATTTGGGCTAGCAGCAGAGTTGACTATTCCATGTCTAATCCTCAATACACCATATAGGCCTACAATAGACTGTATAACAGAGCAATATTCCATTCTCCCTTTCTCTCTAAACCCCCCAAGGACAGAACACTACTGTACAGGCTATGTGCCCTTACCTTCTGATAAGCCAGCTGTAAGTAGTTGTATGGGATCCGCCTGTTGAAGTCCTGCACCACATCCTCACTAACTTTGTGAAGAGACTGAGCGCCCACTCTCTCCTCCATACAGGAATTCGTACAGGCCGCTCTGCGCAGGACGGTGTCGAAGAAGCGGAGGTCCGTGAAGCTCTCCTCAAACGGATGCTGGTCCTGGCACCTGAGCCGACATCGGACCTTGGTGCGTCGGAGCTCGGAGGAGCTGTTGAGCGCAGCCTCCATGTGGAGCACCACGCTCTCGTAGTCGCTCCGGTAAAACGCCTGCACCGCGTTGTCGTACAGAAGGTCATAGGGCTGGAGAACAGCACATGATATGGACACAAGTGTCAGCAGGACAAAAGACTGGACAGCCGCGCAGAGCCCATCCATCCTCAGCCGCGGTGTGTCACTCTGAGAGGGGACCTGAGACAACACAAGACCGCGTCTGTCAGTCACAACACGAGGATCTCACGAGGATTGTTAAAGTCCATCTGAACTCTCCACGGGACACGAGGCGCGGAGGACGGCACCGAACAGGGCGGAAATAGTGTGACTTTAGTCGGGGACACACATTTTGTTGTGACCCTTCTTCTTGGCTTCTGGAAAACTCCTCCCCTTTAAGGAGTGAACAACCCCGCGGCCGACTGCGGGGGGCAACACCCCCACCCTCCCTGATGCAGAAGTATAGAAGACCATTAATAATAACGCAACACAGTGGATAGACAGCTTGTAATTATAAATGTCACAAGTTTGTTTAAAAAAAAAAAAAAAAAAAAACTCAAAGCACGACGTTTCAGGAGACTATAGGAGCACCCACAAACATACACTCAAGTGTAGACTATGTTTTACAGGATACTGAAGTAATATTTAAGATTTTAAATACGTTTTTTACAGACTCAACTCAAAAGTGTAAGCTAACAATGCTGCATGATCAACACTCCTAGCCTCAGCTCCAGTCTGTGTAATGTAGTGTAACACTGTCTCCATCTAGTGGTCAAAGAGGAATAGTAACACAGTAAAATACATCTGTATACTTTTTCATTTTTGTAGCAGTATCGGAAGTTTAACAATGTTTGCTTTATTTAATTATTTACTCCTGGATCAAAAATGACAGCTGTTTTAAGGTAGGTTATAGTCAATATAACAATAATGTAATTATGTTAGGAAATTTTAAAAACATTTCTATCCAATTGCTCCCCAGCTTGGGTGATTTTTGCTTTTTCTGCTTTTACCTGCCTTTTGACCCTTTGTTTTGTTATAGGTCTATCTTTGTTTTAAAGTAATGCAATGGAGTGGTTGGCAGCTTTTGTGGCTACCTGCCTCACACACTGAGCAGTTTTTGAAACTTTTTGTTTTTAAGCTCAGCTCAAATGAACTCTTTGTTTTTCTGGTATTCATGGAGACTGTGCAAGAGGCTAGTGAAAGAACTCGAGCTGAGGAACTAGCTGTGGATCTTTGAGATGCTACAGGCTTACACTATATGTAGCAGCAAATATTGCAGAAGACCTTCCAGAGGAAACACTTAGAGGGAATGAACACAAGGGGCTGTTGAACTGTGTGAAATTAACTTTTTGCTTTTACCATATCTATGGAGTCCATGCAAGAGGCTAGCTAAAAAGCTTGCTATGGACTTTTGAGATCCTATGGGGTTTTTAGACCATATGTGGCACAATTGTGGCAGAAGACCTTCCAGAGGAAATACTCTAAGATCATCCAAAAGAAATAGTTTGAGGGAATGAACCATTTAATCACCAACTGAAACTCCAGAGGATTAAGAGTGTGGTCTTTCTTGTTGTGTTCACCTGGCTCTCACTGGCCACAGCTGTGATGCTGCAGGACACAGAGGAGGGACACTTTTGGTTCTTTCTCTCCTCAAACTGCCATGACACAGATCTGCGAACCCTACCTGACCAGTCCCCCTTTTAAACTGCACTGAGACCTTTGACTAAGGCACAAAGGTGACTGAGAAGAGCAGTGGAAATATTGTGGAACCAAACTTGAATTTCTCTCAGGATCAATAAAGTATCTCTTTCTCTCTCTTCTTCTCAAATCCATTTCATACAATTTATTTGAGGAACATGGCATCATTTTATGGTCTATATATTGAAGGCTACAAACCAAACTTTTGCAGCTGGTATTTGTTTCATTGTCATCTCTGCTGGTATGACATAAAATTAAGAGTCAAGGAAGGAAACCATTTCAGCCCAGGAAAGTCCCCATTACTGGAGCGCCATACTGTGTCCAGCGTGATCAGTCTAATGACTGTAAAATAACAAATTCAACTTACAGGAAAAAAGCAGGAGAGATAAGATAGAGCCTGTGGCTGAGGGTCAACTCCTGATGAGAATGTAGCCTACTATAGGACACTGTATAAGAGCCTGCATCTTTTCTATCACCAAGTCACTAGGCTAATAACAAATTAAATACTAAAATAATCCAACCACAGAACCACAGACTCATCAAAGACAACATTTATTGTAGCAACATGACATATAAATTATCTAACAATTATCAATTTTGATAGATATTTACACAAGACAAAGATTATAAATAGCATATACCAGTACTGTATGCTTCCTGCATTATACATTTTCTCACAATTTGACAATAAATGGACTGAATTCAACAGAAAAAGTGTAAAATTTCAAATATTTACAAATCATATTTGGATCATCTAATGCGCTCACCCAAAAGTCCGAATAATAAAAAAATGCCTGACAGACCTTGACATGTACTTTCTGTGTTTATGTTAGACATAGTTGGATTTTGGATGACTTGTAGGAAGCAGGCGATTCCCTGTAAATGACTCAGATCTGTGTGAACACCTACGATAACACAGGAATGCTCCACCCAAAATATTGAGGAGGCTACCTGCCCAGCTGACGAAAACAGCTTTCCCAAACTCAAAACTGCAACAAATATGAACACTGTTAGAGAGAAATAAACGATTATATAAGCAGTAACATGTAGTACTATACAACATAATATATACCTTTGTAAACGATGGGCTGTTTTATAAGAGTGAACAATCTGGCTGACATACCAGGAGGTGATGATGAGTGACAGAAGACCTAAAAATAAATGAGATTACATGTGTTTATCTTACAGCTACAGGCAGAGTATTGATTAGAAGGTGTCCTATGCTCTCACCTGCGATGATGAAGATGATTCCTCCGGTCATAGCTGTGTGGGCCTTCGTTTCATTCTTCCCGTCCATAAACCGGGTGCACTTCATCCCCAAAGTGGACACCAGGAGCCCCACCGCAGACAGGAAGATACTGAGCAACATCGCCGCTCTGGTAGCCTGGATCTCCACTGCCAAAACACAATTCAATACACCATTCACTGAATAGTAAAGTAAGGTCTTATTTATTTATTATCTTTTCTGTTTTATTACTTACCAGCTCATACACATGGCACACAGACACACACACTTACACTTCAAAAGAAGTTATCTGATCACCCTCTTCAAACCTTGATCTACGCACTGCCTATTCCATCAAGTCAAAATGTCTAATGTCTTTTATGGTTTGTATTGTCTAAAATAAAAATAAAGTAAGGTAAGGTAAGTTACACTTTCTTAATATTATTGTCCCTGTAGGGAAATTTGTCTCCTGTCTGATCCATCCATTCTTCAGTGCAGCTTGAACAACCTGTTGCATTACAATTAATAGCCTAAATTTATTCAGTTTCCAAAAGGGAGAAGCTACTTGAGCACAAAATTATGTACAACTGCTTCATTTGGTGCATTATACCTTCTTTGCTCTAAATAATCTTCATTATCCTTAGGCTATAATATAATGAGCATACTGACATGGCGTTGAATGGAAATGAATGTTTTTAGTACAATGCTGGCTTGAGGTTCTGTCAATAAAAGTTGAAAGATTTCAACGCTATAGGAACAAATAAACAGCATATAGCCTACCCCACAGGTTAGTAATAGAAATGTATTTTAAGTGGAGGGCATCGGAAAAGTGCTCATTGGGCTACCTCCAACTTTTACGCACAGGCGCTAAACATTACGCACCAGAGAGTTTGAAGATGGATTCGTGAAACTCGCACGTTGTTCTCTCATATCCACTGCAGCTCATCCACAGACCGTCGTAAATCTTGTGCGTCTTTCCTTGAGACTGTTTTTTCCATTCAACCATAAAAGTAGCGGCGATGGTGGCAGACAGACCCAAAAGTGCGAGTAAAAAACCCCAAATCTGTAGCCCCGAGCTGGCCATAGCTCCCAGTTAGGAAATAACGAAAAAAAGAGGATGAATAAAATGTTATTAAAAAACAAACAAACAAACTGCTCAATAGGGTTTAATAACCATTCACAAAGACAAAGAGTGATGGGCCGTTATACAAGCACTCTTGTTATAAATCGGCCCCGGTGTGACGCACATGCTCCACCTGCAGAGGATGGATGGAAGGGGTCCAGATTGAATAAGCTTTGCATGGAAGCGTTGAAAAGCGTTTCCCGCAACACTTCCTTCAATTTTGTCAACGTCACATTTAAAATATTACATGCTACAATTTATTTTTCACCTTTTATCTTTAGTTCATGCTTTAGTGGTTTAATAACAGAGTTTGAATATACATTTGACTCAAATAATTTTTATATGATTATTTCATGATTATATTTGTTGTCTTTTGAGCAAATTAAACGAAATGTTTAAGTAATAGTTTATTCACCATCAGCAAATATGCGGGAGGTCCACACCCAGTAAATGAGGTTAACATGCCCAATTGTTTCACAGTGGGCTTCATGCGGTTTACAAAACGTATAATTAACTGCACACAATTTGTATATTTTTCCAACATAATTTCCAACATTTTATCTACGATGAGACCATATTTGGGGAAGGAAATGCCAGTTTGTAAACAAAGTATTTGTCTGTAAGATTGGATCAGGGTCGGTCTTTCCTGAAATAATCCCAAGACACAACAGTTGGCAGTAATTAAGGTCACAGCTCTGCTCTCTGTGCCTATACTGATTGTGTTGCATCCTCAGTTTCAAGACTTGAGACTATTTACCTACAATGTTTTCATCATGATATTGTTTTCTACCACTTTAAACTTTTGCCAGAGCTAAAAGATGATGTGTTTTGGAGTATCCAGATGGACAGCCACAATTACAGGAAATAATGAACGGATTTCCACTAAACTATATCTCTGGCTCTTCTCAACACTATTATCAGGATGACTTCACATCACAAAAATGAAAACAAAAAACAAAAAAATCAATGCCAGGACACATGTGAGAGGTGAAGTACCAAAGGTGTAAAAAGGATGCTTTGATTAGGAAAAAAAAAATGCTATTTATATTTGCCCAAGTTAACTTCATAGCACATAAGTATCAGTGGGGGTGTTTAACATGATATTTAAAATGATAACATATTTAAAAATTTTGGATGGCATAACAACAACTTTAAAAACTAAACTTGGTGTTATGCCTCTTCCTTAGAGTTTCTTACTAGGCAAATTCATGAGGAGGTTAAAATTTCCTTCCCCATGTGAAAACAGAGGTCTTCTATAGACATAGCTTTCTCTTATCCAACACATAGATCTATATGTAATGGCCGAATATGACTGTGTTTCCATTGTTCAGCTACAACTACGTTATTTATTATAGAAGGTTCATAAATCTTTCACCACATAATTATGAGTAACATTTTAAATCTGACATGAGGCAAGGCACCCTAAATTCACTCCAACTCAGATTTTATCATAGGAATAATTTCCTATATATTGTATGTCTGTTTTAATAGTTCAAACTTAGAAAAAGTTTAATAAAACGGTGTGTAAACACATTAAAACTTTCACTACTTTCATTATAGCAAATTATGTGAGTTACCATCATCGCACAAAGGGAGGAAGCATGAGTGGGAAAATGATGTAAGCTATTTATTAGGGCCGGGCACGTTAACGCGTTAACTTTGCGTTAACTAATTAAGTCATTAACGCCGACAATTATTTTAACGCCGTCAACGCAGTTTTTATTATTTATTAATTTATTTTATTGTAAACGTCTGTTTCTCACTGGCTTTTATTTTGAAAAAGTCCACCGCGAGCGTTTCTTTAAGTTTGACGTCTTTTCTTGACACTTTTTTCACTTTTTTCTGACCACGTGAGATGCAACGTGCCCGAGCCTCCGCGAGCCACGGGCCCGGCCGCGGGTTCGGCCGCGGGCTCCGACTCCTGTCCCGGCTCCGGCCGCGAGTTCGGCCGCGGGCTCCGGCTCCGGCCGCGGGCTCTGGTCGCGGGCTCCGGCTCCGGCCGCGGGTTCGGCCGCGGGCTCCGGCTTCAGCCGCGAGTTCAGCCGCGGGCACCGGCTCTGGTCGGACCAGCCGTGCGCTCTGAGCTGAGCTTATTTCTTTAGTTCAGTGCTGGAATAACTGATTTGCCCAGATACCATTGGAAGAAAAAATATGATTGGTCCATTTCCATTCCATTATATTAACCCTTTGTTTCCTAAGAAATACAAGTTTATAACACTGATCTAGAAATTATTACCAGTGTAGTGTTCATTACTCACAGCATAAAAAATATTCAATAAATATATTAGTAGTACAAACGTCCATTCAGTATTTTTTCTTGAGCCTTCCCTGAATACCTTGAAGGCTCTGAGGATTCCCCTGTGAAAGAAATGCTGTTTGCACAACAAATGTTTAGCTCTTTCATTTACATTTCCAATAAAAGAGCGCTATACTCTACTTTTTAATTCATTAATTGGTTTTGCGTATAACATGCGATTAATCGCGATTAATCACTCGAACTCATGCGATTAATCGCGATTACATTTTTTTATTTTTGCCCAGCCCTACTATTTATATAAGAATTTTTACTCCTAATTGTCAATCTGATAAACGGGAAATATCAAGCTCTTAAAAGCATGTAAAAAGACAAAACCAAAACCAAACAAACAAACAAATCAGCACTATGAAAAAAATGATTTGATACGCCATCTAGTGTTCAAGCAAAGTATAGTTCACCAAGTTCATCTGTTGACTCTATGCCATTTCAGATCCAATGTGATGGCTTCGATTTAAGGTGAAAGGTTAAATGAAAAAATCTGCCAAAAATCTATTAATTACATATTTCTATATTAAGCAACAGTGCTTTGTATAATATAGAAATATGCTTTTGAAGGAATACACATAAAAATAAATTATACAATTAGTCTAAAATATATGTCCAAAATAAAGTATTTTGTCTAGTTACTTAATTCATTTACTAACAAAATCTTACCATCATTGTTTTGCTTTTGTTTGTTTGTTTGTTGTTGGTTTTTTTTACAGAAAGTTCGTGTTATCATATTTATGCGTTATATGTTAGTATGGTTTTGAAGCTCTAATCTTATTAGCTCATATAGAAACCCAGCTGAATGCAGCACCCACAAGTAGTTGGACTTGTCAAACAAAGGTGTGACACTATCACTAATAACTGCAATTATCCCTGACATATTTGTGGGAAAAACATAGCAAAGACACTGCCATTTAAGTCATTTTGTTCATATCCAGACCTGTGTATCCTTAAAATAGGGCAGGAAGACTGAGCTCTGTATTGGAGGTTCACATTCCAATGGTACATGATAAAGAGAGATATGAAAATGAGTCTCATCTTCTGCCCATTTCCCACTTCTCCTGGGAGAGGGGGATTACGGGTAATGAGTGACAATGCCATCTGACCATGGATCCATGCATCTGACTCACAAGTGCAGTTTCTGTGAACTAAAGCTAACACCCAGACATCCTGTTTAAATATAAAGATAACAAAAAAGGAAAGTTTTGGCCAATGTTAAAATTATAAATATATTTTTTCTGACTTGTGCTGATATTGATGCAGTACCATAAAATGTTAAACATTAAAAATATTAATTCTCTTAACAATAATTATAAAGCTATTCAAATAAAACAGGAAAAAAAACTATACAATACAAAACAGTGAGGATTAAAAGTTAAAATAATGAAAAACTAAAAACTTAAATTGACATAGACAGGTATATAGTCTACGCAAACTTTCATTTTACTTTGTCAGCTTCTCAGTGATCTTATTGTTTCTTATTGTTGCCTTTTGTTTAGAGATATGATTAAAGGACCAACCTATTTCTTATACTCATTCAATCATTATATTTAAGTAATTTGATATTTTGAACATTGTAAGAACCTTTTGTGCAAACCCTATCCACATTTCACTATTGGTAGAAATTCCATTCAGATACACACCAGTGCTGCATCATATTACTATTAAAATTATTAGAATATTATTGTGATGTGTGAGTTACTCCCAATAATTTCCCATGTGGATCAATAACCTTCTAATAAACTTCTGTCTAAGTCTAAATCTAAGTCTAGGAATTATATCATTGTTATTATCATTAGAAAGAGCCCTAGTGTAATAATGTCATGTAAAGTGTGTGTGTCATCTGTGCCTGCTTGTATGGGCCTTGTGAGGACTTGTGGTGTGTGGAGGGTGACTCCCAGAGCAGGAGCTGGTCTGGTGTCATTCCTGCAGCAGGCTGAGCTCTGAGGCCTGGGGACAAACGGCCTCCCTGCCTCTGACACAGCTCCGATACTCACTGTGCTCTGCCCCATTCTATACTCTGACCTACTCTGTACTCTTCTCTGCCCCACTCTGTGTCTTCCCTCACTTTATACTCTGCCTCACTCAATACTCTGCCCCACTCTGTGCATTGCCTCACACTGTGCTCTGCCCCACTCTATTCTGCCCCACTCTATTCTGTCCCATTCCACACCAACACAAGGTGCTGTCAATTTAGGAAACACTGTAACAATACAGCGGAAACAAGTGTGGTTATTAAAGTGGTGAACATTAAAGATGGGCTATGTAACTTTTCTTGGACTTAGACAAACTTTATTGATCCACAAGGGAAATTATTAGGACATGGTAGCTCACACATCACAATATATCATAATAACAATGTGCAAAAATATAAATGCCAATAATAAATCCAAAGTAGCAAAATAGACAAGAGACTGGTGTCAAATATAAGATATAATTATCTAGATATATATGTGTAACCATTCATGGAGATGCCTATAATATTCCACAATATGGCATTAAACTTGTCTATCTTTATGGAGAAATGCAGATAACATCAACAGATCAATTTATAAGTCAGATCTGTGGAGAGACGAGGCTATTCCCAGTAAGTTTTTTCTAGGTATCTAAAAGGCCGTGAAGGCAAGCAGGTGGCAGATCAGAAAAGTTACATAGTGAGCCTTTAAGTGTTAATATTGAATACTAATAACTTTATATTTTAGTAGTCCTACTTAGTGAAAATTTACATTCTCGTATGTTTACTACAACTGCAGAGTTCAAAATAGCAAAAGAAAAAAAACTTGTATCTGCATAATGTTCACAATTTAAATTTTTTTTAAAATTGAGGAACATGATCCTTGTTTATTGCAAAAGATAAATGTAAAATGATAACTCTTTTACTAAATATTAGTAGTATTTATCTGAGGTAGAAGTATATAGTAAGTAGGAAGAAGTAGTATAAATAAATATTTGTCCAGATCTTACTTTAACCTTAATCTAATCTTAATCTAATCTCATGTCTAATGTCAATACAATGTATATTTTAGGCATTAGAGGTTAGATTAAATCATTTAATGGATACACTTTAATACAGTAGCAAGCTGTCTGGCCTATTTTCCGATATGTCACTGAAATGTCACATCAAATCATATCAGTACTAGATTCTTCACATGTGCCGTGCCTTGATTACACCCAATGAAAGGCAGAGCTGTGGTTTTCTGTTGAGGGCTGGCTTAGCCTCTGCCTAAATAGTTCTCTGTCCTCCTCTACCGGTTTTTCCTGAAGATGCGCCTGGGGCTTTTTCAGGTCATCTTACAACAAATATGCAAATGAAGAGGATATAAAGTGAATTAAGAAGTTTGAGTAAAATACAAATGTTGTGTGTTTTTAACTGCAGTGTAGAGCTGTTGACCCTGACATCAAGTAAACATAGGTTTATGTGATAGTCAGCGGGTTTCTCTGCCCCTCTCTCTGTTTCAGTAATGAGTGGGTGTGTCTTCAAGTCTCAACACGGCATGCTCCACTTGATAGACAGCTGCGCGCACTCCTTTACCTGCCAGGTGAGCCATGGGAACAGAGCTTCAGCAGTGACTGGGGCAAGCACTTTACTACACTGGACTGTCCCAGGTGAGGATGGCCTGCACGGGACAGGTGAGTTATAAAGGTGAAATTACTCTGGTGTTTTTGGTGAATGTTTGTGTAGTGTTGGATGTGCTCAGAGAAGTTATTTGTAGTGCAATGTCAGTGGTTTCTTTGAGCTGTTACTGCCTATTCAGCAAACACCTGTCATGGCATGGGACACGAGACACTTCATCTGACTTCCCTGTGTGATCCTGGACACTAACATTGTCTCTTCTCTATAAAAATGATCAAAATACTCCAAAGAAACTGGCTCAATGTTTCTTTCATGCTTACTTACTGTCACTGATCTCTCCACAGGGGGCAGTTGTGTTAGTTGTATTATCCGCGCAGCTAGAAACTTTGCCTGGGAATTTCTCTACTCAAAAATTTCAGTCATTGTTTCTGGTCGTGTGTGTAATTTACAAAAATCCAATTGGAAAGACTTGTGTACTTGTGAACTCTCTGAGATGGATTTGTCATTATCATCACAATTTATGAATATACTGTAATACTGTATTTTTGATAGTGTATTGCAGTTATGATGTTGAAGGCTGTAGTTTAATCTGTTTGAGCAGAGGTTGTGACACATCTGGGTGAGGGTACAACAGTGTTACCACATGCAGACTAACCAGGAGTATGTTTGGTATGTTGGTGAACCAGCTCCACTCAGTCCATCACTTCCTGAAGGGTGTAACCTGTACATTTAATAGCATTGGCATGATTTTAATTAAAAGATGCCAATAACAATGACGCATCAGATCAAGTCAGAATTAACACTGGACTACATTAAGTGTCCACTTCAAAATTTAACCATAACACAATAATTCTGTTACATATAACTATAAATGTATTTCTAAATGTACTTCTGTTACTAACATGTGTTGAATATTTAAAAATAAATATTTTCCATGACAATTGCCTGCCTTCAGTGTTTGTTTATGTGAACAGTGTTTGCACAGATAGTTTTCTCGTCAGAATTATGCAATGATGGTAACACCCAGTTTCTACTGGAATATAAATATCCATTAATAAACATTGCATGGTTACCAATTAATGTAAAAGGAGACTATTGTCAAATTAATGTATTAATGAGCTCTATAAATGACACAAACACCAGTGAAATAAATGCAGTTACAATTTATTATACTGAATGTTGAGATGCAAGAGACTGAATTCCTTTCACTAAACTCTAGTTTGAGAATGTGACACTTTGTTCAATCATGTTATAGTTCATGGTAGAAATTGCATACAAGCTCTGGATAAAAATGTTCATAACACTTTGTCTTTCATTGACAACTCACATCCGATGCACAATTTACAGCTTAGATCAACAGTGTCCACTAGGTGACGCTCTAACAAAAAAAGAGCACTCTGGCAGCTCTGCTACAGCCACAACAATGTACACCTGTCCCTGAATGAAGCTATGGCACAACCCGTGAATTCAACAGCATTTAGCACATACAGTATAAAACACCAGCACATCTCCAGGGCATACATATTACTATGGGCCAGGCCAAAAGTACAGACCATTCATCCACATGTATTCATTTCACTTCTGTAAGACCGCTCAGTGTCAGTAAATACAAGAGCTCTGAACTCCAATTCAATTTTATATTCAATATGAACAGAAAATCCTACAATAAACCAGACATTTTTTTTTTTTACTCCTTTTCTGCCTTATCCCGGACTGACTTCCCTGTTTATCCCTATTGTGCAAATGTTTGTTTTCTCAGCAGGCAGGAAGTAAAACCCTACTTGTAACAAAGAAAAGAAACAAAAGTAAAGTTGGAGGGAACTTTTTAGGAAGACCAACCAAATAAAAAGACTATATATTACTAAAATCAAAATAATATCATTTATATTAAAAGACATGAATAAAACATAATTTGATATTTACATTTAAATAATACATGATCTACTACTCCATTGCATTTATGCCTTTGGCACAAACTGATTTCACATGGTCATGTACATGCATCCCACTTTGTACTGGTGTAAATAGAAACTGGATTTGGTTTGTAAACAACAGAACGATATGAAGTAATAGCAAAACAGAAGTATAGTAGATAAAGTATATTTTCCATTCAAGTTAAGACTATTGGCTTTTGTGGCTATAGCCCTTTGTATATAATAATAATAAACAGAGCTTTAACAGAGCTGAAATGCATGTACACAGTTGTACAGTTTCAGTAAGCATGCACATACAAACAGACAGAGCCCCCACAGATCGATGATCTTTGTAATGCCCCACATTCCAGCACTGGTCAAGGCCTACACAGCCAGCACCTTAAAATCAAACTGTTCTATGAGAGACTGTCTATCCAAGTGGACTGAATGGCACATGGTTATGGCCTGTACAGGGAGCTGCCAGTTGTTAAGACAACAAGGCAGCCATGTTGGAGAAAAGAGGCACATCCCATGAAATAGAAAACTAAATAAACAAATAAATACTTGACACAAAGGAATGGCGGAAGTGTAGTTACTGATGCCTCATTCAGTCCTGCATAAAAATGTAACATTTATTTTTATAAAATGCACAAAGAAAAGAATGTACCATCACACACAGACCCCTTGATTTGATTCTAGTTTTGATGAAAACAAATGTCTCAATGCCACCACGTGAGATTGTCCCTAGGCTTTTGGTCAAGTGTGTGAAGAGATGGAGAGGAAACTGATGAATACAATAAGGGACAGAACTGACGGTATGTCTGGACAAGAGCCTGAGTCACCGCTTGTAATAGGCACCTGAAAAAACAGAGAAATCTATCAAGATGTAATTTTAATTTTAGGCTTCCACCACAACATACTAGAGCCTACAAAATGCTAATATGCTGAAATGCAAAATTACTATATTCCAGTGCATAAAATTACAGTTCCAGGATAAAGTGCTATAAATTAGCTTCACTGGCCACTGGAAACTAGCACATAAATGTCTGTATGATAATAGTGCTGAACTATGTGTATTTGTGGAGTAGCAAGCCCCCAAATATGCCATCACAATTAGTGAATGGTGTACAGTTACAGATCTAATTTTAGGTTCTTCTCTTATTGTGTGTCAGTAGGACTACCTCTGGACGTAGGCTCAGGTCTGGAGGGGCCCCGAGGGGGGAGGGGCTGGTCTGGATAGCTGTACGCTGGGTTTACGTTAGCATACTCGTGCGGTCGGGGCTGAGGAGGCCTGGGAGAATGACAAAGAATGTTAAGAGTTCGGCCTGAGGAGATGCCAAGGATTCATTGCCATAAGGAGGGGCCTTGTACCTGGCAGGTTTGTTGTGGTTCTTCTGTCTCTGGTATTCATACTCGTCCCGTGTTCTTGGTCGAACTACTTCCTCTGAATTTGGCTAAAATAATAAATAAATTTTTCACACATTTGTAGAATGTGGCCAGTGTAATTGTCAAGACAATAAAACTAACTAACTAAGGTCATACTTCATATTGATTTTTATACTACACTCTTTAACAGACAATAAACTGTAATTTTCAAAATAAAATAATATGTACTTTAATATTATAATGTGGTCTTTTTTAATGGCCTTGATCTTTCTCATCATTATCAGAACTAGTATAACAATGCAGGAAGTCTTTTTTTTTTCCAGTATCAATAATTGTTCAAATGAGTTTTGATATAGTATCAGTTAACATAATTTAGTATCAACCCTTTTAGTTTGAGACATCTAAATGATGAGTGAAATGTACCCGATACTCTGCTTCGTGTCTCTTCCTCTCTGCTGCATTTCTGTCTCTTTCTCTCTCCTTCTCTCGCTGTCTCTCTTTCTCTCTCTCGCGCTGTTTCTTGTACTCTTTCTTCTCTTGTTCCATTAGCAGGCGAGCAATCTCCTACAAAACACCAAATTCAAGACATTTTTAAAGTCAAACTGTATACACTTCTTCCAAATTTCTGCTACCATATTACAAATGATGAAAACAGAACAACAAAATATGTATACTTACTTCATCCTGTGCAACTTGAGCAGCACGTGAAATCGTACTATTTGTCTACAATCAGAATTAATAAACATTTACTTTTTTAAAACAAATCCGTGAACATACACAATTAGCTTTATATTCATAAATTTCAGAATGCTAAAAATATCAAAACCATTGCCATAGCAATGAACAATAAAAACAAAACATTACATTTAGAATGGGGAAAAAGCCCTCAAAATGTTGCATCAAATTGAAACCATGAGGAGCATAGGGTTAGTTCCTCCTAAGGGTGAGTAATATGCCAAAAGTTCATACAGTTTTTTTTTTTATCTTAGATTTTTGTATGATTCATAAAGACTTCCTGTCATCATGTCTTTTAAATACATTGAAGTAACAATACTATCGGCTGGATCTGAGAGTGTACACTATATTATAACATTATAATATTACTATATATATTATATATTATATTATTATTATAATATTACATCATAGAAATCAGATCACAATTCATTTTTATCGTCATATTGACATGCCATATATGCAGAATAATCAACCTGCTAATATTATGCAGGCTTTCCTCACCTTGAGCTCTTCCTCCTGGAGTTTCCTGGCCACCTCTCGGTCTTTCAGCTCCTGCTCATGGATGCCCAGTTTGGTCAGTCCTTTTGTGGCTTCTGTCAGCTTGTAATCAGTCTCTGCCACCACCTCTCCACTGCCTTTGTGCAAAACACGGCCTGGTTAAATTAGAGGACACACATGACACACATAACACACACATCATGGTATCTGCAATGTTTTGTGATCATGAATCACTAACAACAATAACTGAGTAAAAAGGATAAATTTAAATTTTTTTCTCCAATCATTATTTTCAATTTGTGTAAAATAAAATGCAGATATGGATTGCAAACCAGATGTGAACTAGATTACTAGAGTGGTTGATTCAGTCCATTAAGTATGCTACTAGTATGCTGTTTTATAATGAGAAATAAGTAAATTAAAGACAAACACCACACACTGCAGGTGAAAAAGAAGCTGATTATTCACAGATGCAGAAGAGTGAAGCCTAGAGCAGAATCACATCACAAAATCAGGTTGAAGAAATATGTTATTTGAAAAAGTTTGAGTGACTATTGTGAGAGACCCATCACCTCAGAGCACTACAGCAAAAGCCCCACAGCACACACCAGACGACCACGGTGGCTCAGGGTGATACCTGTCTCTGCGTTTGGCTGCCCCCTTTCTCTGATGGGACCCTCCCAGAGCTCTCTGGTCTCCTTTCTGCCTCTTTCATTATGCTCCATGAACACATCATCAGGGTTTGACTCTACCCTCCGCCGGCCTCTTCCTCTCCTGTTCTGCTCCTCCTCTTCTTCCTCCCAGGATGGCCGGTCCCTCCGGGGCCAGTCCCAGCTGGGACCTGGACTGGTATCATAGTAGTCTTCATCCAGGACTCTGTCCCTGCTGCGAGTCCGGGCCCTGTGAGGGTCTTTGTGCCTGTGGCGCTCTTTGTCCTGAAGGCGATCAGCACTGAAGCCTCTGTCTCGGGAGCGCTCCCCGTCTCTGCTGTAACTCGGAACCTCCTGGCGCCCTCTGCTGTGATGCCTGTCATACTCGTCATATCTGTCGTACCTGTCCTGCTCCCAGCTCTTGTCCCTTTCCCTGGATGTGTGAGGAGGAGGAGGTCTCGCTGGTCTCTCCTTTCTCCTCACCACTCTTTCGCTGTCCACTGTGTGGCGCCGCCCTGTCTCTGTAGGAGACCCATAGTCTGGATATCGTTCTCCATGTTTGCCTCTGGGGGACAGCAGGTGCTCAGGATAGGGGTCTGCGTGTCTGCCCCGACTGCTCTCAGCCTCTAGGGAGTGCTCTGGGTACCTGGAGCGGCTGTGGGGGGCTGCTGGGTCTCTTTTGGGGTACCTGCTACGTTTGGGCTCAGTGGAGCTGTATTCTGGAGAGTAATCTCGATGTGGACTCAGTGGAGCAATGGGAGAAAGTGACCTTTGCATAATTGGTTTGTCCAAGTCCAGAGGCCTTCTCACTGTGAAGCCGGTGCGATGTGGAAGAGTAAGGGTTGGAAGCAGAGTCAGGGTTTGTCATGAAAATGTGAAAAAACACAGGAATGAACAGACTGGAATGGGTTAGTTAGCACACATTGTACCAAGTGATGTCATAGTTCCTCAAAAAAACAGCATGATGTAATGGTTTTAGCTGCACCCACCCAATAGGAATCAGTGTTTTTGGATGCATGGTTACAACCTACATGGCACAACTAAAGTGCACATGCTAAAGGGTATTAAGAGTAAATTCACAAAACACAACACAAATAGTAAAGAGTGTTTTGTAGGCTATCGTCACCTTGAAACTTTGAATGAAAACAAATGGTTACAAAACATACACAGACGCAAATGTGTTCAGTCGTCAGTCCGTTCAGAGGAATGTGAGCTACTTCACTGCCTGTGCAAGGTCTCACAGAAACAAACCGTTTGTTTAGAAAAGGAGGGGCTTGGCTCTAATGAGAGAAACTGTCTGACCATTTCTGTAGTAGTCTTTAATCTTAGGGGGGAGGGACTAAGCACTAAAGCATGTATGGTATGACTTCAATAAAATAACAATAAAGAGGTAAGTTTATGCAGATACATTATTTATCATCTATATTATGCAAAATTGACTCTTGTGAGCTTTTAGCCATGTTATAGCATTATTAATTCCTCAAAAACATACTTTGAGCTGTGCTTTGTTACATTCACACCTGTTTGAATAATCCTTTTTTATTAGTCTGTTTACATCTACAAAGCCCAAAATACTCAGTTCCACCTTGAGATGTGATGAAGTGGTAGTTTTCAAGTTAACAGCTACCTTAGTCTTTGTTCAGTAGAGATTGGAAATTCCAAAACTTTAATTACCGAAATGAATCTCCTGAAGGTGTATGGAGTTTGAAAACACAGTAGAGTACTTCCTGTATTACCACATGACATCAGAGAAGAACTCAGCCTAAATATGCTGGCTTTGTGTGTTTAACATGTATGAATGAAACAAAACACAACTCCAAGTATGTTTGTGATAGATTTGTGATCAGAAAATACTGTAATGTGGGCCCTTAAAAGCCTAAGCAATTTTGTGTTAATAAAAACCCAAACTACATGCCTAACTACATGACTTGCATGTAACCCTGCTAATTGCTAATTTTTCAAATAAGTGAGTGGCACAGACTTAAAATGCCATGACCAAATAGGCCCCAGACACCAGTGCTCACCTCCTTGATCCTCAACGTATTCATCATCAAAGTTAGTTTCCAGCTGCTTCTGCCTCTTCCTCTCCTCTTTCATCTCTTTCTCATGGAGTTTGCGAGCTATGGCCTACAAAAAAGGAACACCGAGCAAAAATCAGTCGTCACAAATAGGCCACATGGTCTGGTTACACAGGAAGAAGGATTTATTATTTTGAGCACACTGAGGACACGGTCTGTGGTCTCACAATTCTAGTTTTTGCATGTATTATTTATTGCAAACTGTACAGGAACTAGCGTCAACCCCAAACCCATTGTTATTGTTGGTAATGTTATTATTGGGTGGATGTAACATTAATGAATGGACAGGTGTGTGCAAAAGTTTCTTACAGCATCCTTCTCTTCTTGCTGACGCTGCTGCTCGGCCTGTCGGACCAGTTCTTCCTGAATCTCATGGGCGATTTCAGTGTCTTGACGCTCACTTAATTTTTCATGTTACACATAAAGGAAAAAACAAAACAAAACAAAACAGAGAATGTTATTTTAAGTTAATAATGATGAATAATGAATAATTACACATTATTAATCTTAACAAACACATAATTAATGATAGTCTATTAAATGTAAAAAAAAATAAAATAAATAGTGAATTTTGAGCACATTAAAGCTGCGGGAGTAAGAAGCTGCTACTCTAATTTGTTCCCAACTCCCACAGACTTTTTTTGTATGCACAGATTTAGCAAACACATTTTTCACATGGGGAAGCTGAATTAACCACCTTACCACAGTATCAAGCCTAAACCTATCATAAAGCATCATATAGGGATGCACTAAGCTCTTTCCCTGTTTGCAATAGATAAAACATTTTACAGTTACAAGCAGACAGAGATCTGATTTTGTCACAAAATATGCTCAAATAGTACTCATTCATAAAAAGTGAAACGCGCAGCTTTAAATTTATGAGATGAGTCCATAAATTTAACTGATCTAAAAATAATAAAACCAAACGTTACCAATAAGATGCAAGCAACACTGTACAGACATATTAATGAATAATGTTGTTGATGTTCTGAGAGACTTGGCTTACTTTCACCTTTGAGAGATCTCATCAACACCATCTGCCTGCAGCCTGGCTACATATTGCATAGCTGTGTAATGCCACACTTGATATTATCAGGTTCACATGCATGTGCTCATACTTCTGTTGACAAACTCAAGTCTGTGGGATTATGTTTTTTTTCATAATATCTTTTTTTTTTCATGATAAATCATCCAAATATAATGTATCTTTTTTGTCTGCCACAATATCAATATGCTGTGTGGGTGTGGTAATGAGTGAGGCATGTACATATCAGTTTGCAGCCTCCTGCTCTGAGCTTTTGCTCTTAGATCCTCTTCCTCTTGGAGTCTCTTGGCCACCTGCAGGTCTTGCTGCACCAGACGGCTCTTATGGACGTTCGAAGCCAAGTGGCTCTCAACTGTGATGAAAACAAATAAAGAAGCTCACAAACATGCACAGGAAGAACCACCAGAATATTTTATCCACAAAGTATTCAGAAAGTAGTTATGGCAGTTGTTTTGATGTAGGCTGGAGTGACAGATACTTGTAGAGGATCTTCACTTCACTGATGGAGCGTGACCTGAACTACTGAAGAATGAATATGTGCAGTCCCAAGGTTGTGTCGTAGGCTGCTGTGAGGAGACAATAAATTCTGCTGCTGACGCACTCTCCGTACTTGGTCACTACAAAAGAGCATCACTCACTTTTGAGGCTCTGTTTCACCTGGTTATCGATCCCTTCTCCGCTTTCATGTGAAAAGGACAAAATTACATCTGGCGATTTACCCCGAGATGCTCCATAAAGTTTGGAGTTTGTGACTTGTGGGATGGATTGAAAAACAGACAGACATAGCTGTGATAAAGAGTCAATAGCACTGCATTGATTTTTTTCCTGAAGATGACGCTGATCAATTGTTAAAGTTTATGACAGTGGTCTCAGAACCAAAAATAGAAAAACTATCAATTAAAGTTTGCCACATTTTTCAGTGGCAAGATTCATCCCCCTTTTAAAATAAATGCTTTGTGACGTAAACTCATTCAGTAATCTAAAAGGGAGGAATTTCAGATAAAAAAATAACTGACACAATAGCTGTGCCAAAAGGCAAACAAGTGGAAAGCACGTTCTACAAGCATTACGCAGCTGTAAACTTCTTTTTTCATCATCAAAACTTCAGGTCATGACAACCATGTGACTGGGTTCAATTGGACTATATTAGGCTTCAAGTAAAACGTTCCTGTGTGACCTCAGGGCCAAAGGTGAAAGCGGAGCTTACCTTAACGAACTAGTAATAGTGCATACATGGAAAAACCTTGGTCTTGGACCACTAGCTCCTAGAATAGTTAATGCAAGGACAGAGAGTCAGCATCACATTAGTCACTACTAAAACAGGGACAAATCTGTCCCAAGGTATGGTAGTGAAAGTGCTTTGCAGTGTGCAGAATATAATGCATTAACAAATTGTATTACCTAGCATGTATGACTGTATGGCTAAAATGAGTCACCACTGATAAAAAGTGTTTTACGTTTTATCTAACGGTGGACAAAGTCACATCCTGTGATATAAATACATTACCCTCATACACTATTGTAATGAGATGCTGCACCAGTCACACATTTAACTACCTCTACAGACATTGCACAAACAGTTACTCTACGAGTCTAGACTCTGTATGTGGTGCAATGGACACTGATAATGTAACAGATGTAGGCATATGCTAAGTGAACATGCCAACACATGCCAACTTACAAAAGATGCATTTTCAAGTAACTACAAAAACATTGTTGTATAGACTGAAATGCAATCGTTAGAGCATTAATGATGAATATAATACACTATATTAAATGTTTTTCATCCTTAACCAGCCTAAACCTGAAGAAGTATTTACAATGGAGTATCAAGTGACAGTGGTTTTCTTACTTTCTTGTTCTTGGAGGTTGTACGCCAGGCTGTGGTCCTCAAGCACAGCAAAGTCACGGCACACTGGAAAAAAACAAAGGAAGTGTAAAGAATAATTTTACCCCAGCTTATGTTCAAGTCTTGACCATACCCTTTTTAGATTTTGGGCAGTGGCCTAAGGAATCTGGTCAAGTGGTCTGCGGTTACATTATTTTAGTATGGTTAAAAATGAATGTGAAATTTTAAAAAAGGAAACACTGCAGAACTGCTGACACTGTCATTATAGCAGACTGCATTCTTCATGCCTTGGTGTCATCCACATTTGAAATATATCACACATCTGAGCAGCACATGTTTTGAATTTTTCCTACCAACGTTTCAAGACCAGCCATGAGAGTGTGCAAATGAAAAACCACTGTATCGGTCACCATATATTTAAGTCATAGCTTCAACAGTTAGGAGAGGATTTAATACAAGACAAAGCATGATATCTCTATGTGGGGAATAAGCGGTCAAAGTAGGATGCTCACTCTTAAATGTGTATATGGAATCTAGTCTTTAGAAAGTATGATTAGATTTTGTCTTTTTAAAATCAAATTTATCTGAGAAATGTGTTGAAATAAACAGGTAAACGCTCTAAAATCCTCCTACAGCTACATATTTGATTAACAGTGGCTGCAGGCCATCATTTAAACCATATGTTTAATCTTCTTATTCCTAGCTGGGATTATGGATATACAACAGCCACACAAAGTCCAATAATAAATGCTCTATGGAATTACACTGTATATTATATGCATCATATTTATTTTACATGATCAGTTTTACTCGATATAGAAAGATGTAAAATGCATGTTGCTAGTCCCTCTGACCAGAATAACAAGCATCCTTCTAAGCAGCTGCTTCAACAAGAAAGGGTCCATCCCATTCCTGCAGCATGAAAGTGTGTGTCAATGTTACAGCTTTATCACTCTGCAGCCTTAACTCTATTTGTGATATTTCCTTCCCGTTTCATGTGAAAATCTGCTGAACATTAATGCACGCTACGGGGTATTTGATATTAAAATAGACCTTGAGACCTTATATGGTTATATTTGTATATTACAATATATAAGGCCTACACCAGAAAGTATAGGTGCATAAATACCTCAAATTCAAAGTGCTGTGGTGCAAAGATGATGTCTGCACCACCTGCGCTATCAGAGTACAAGACACTGGAATGGACAAAAGAGTAAATCATTGGCCAAGATATTTTTAAAAGCAATCCAGTAAACCGATAAAATACATAGTTAGAAAAGGGACTTTTCACAATGAGCACACAATCAGTGCAGGATCTGAGTCCAGCCCTTTCACTGACTGCTGCTCTGTTGTTAGCTCACAAATAGCATACTGCGCTAACACCATCAAACAGTGCCTCGTATTATATCCTCTCCTAAACGCCACATTCACCACGTTAGTTTAAGCAAATCTTTGTAACAGAGTAAGGTATTATAAAGGATGTTACCCTCTTTGACTCCAGGCAGGTTTTTCTGGTCAATGCTAACATTACAATCAGCCATGTTGTCACGGATAATAAGTCAAAACAGCGCTGACGGTGAATTACACTTCCGCGTTTTTCCGAAGGTTAACCGCGACCTGATTGATCGGTTTTGCTCATAAAAGCGATTGATGCCTGTTCGCTGGACGGGTCTGCTGATTAGTTTGGCTGGCCGCTTCTCTCGGTACACGGCGCGGTGCTGTAGTGCTTGACTCCCGCTCGTGTCGGGCTGTCTGCGGCGAGCATCCTCCTCCGCCGGTGCCAACACATGTGCACCTCGCTACACGATCCGGACTACTCTGTCAAAATTAAACACTCGTCACACACATGAATAATACAAAATACGTTTGGGGTTTTGGTCCAGCCGAATTTGACAGACCTTTTAGTCACATGTGCATTAAAGTAGGTCGAATACGAAAAGCTGTGCGCATTTTGTTCATTTGTCTCAGCTAATTGCCGTTCATAATTATAGACGGGTGTTTCCGGTTTAAATGCGCAAAATTTACAACAACTTTATGTTCACTAACTGTCAGCGTGTGTAGACAGGTTCACCCTAGTCAGTTGTAATGTTTGTACGCTATTTGCAAATACAACACCCTACAGAGAAATTGAAAACGCTAACATAAATACATGGTTTGAAGCTCAAAACACAAATGTCATGTGATTGACAGCTTATATTAAAATTGCCCATTTAGTGTTATTCCGCCCTCTAGCGATTGAACTGCAATCTTAAAGGGATTAGGGAGAAGAGGGTTTTTCTTCATAAACTTCATAAACGTCAGTCACTGAGTGGATATGGTATGGATTTATAATGGACTAGTCAGTGTTTAAGAATCCCATAGGGCTCATATATATATAGGGTAAGGGTAACAACTTGTGCTACTTTAAAGTCTCCTAAGACTAAGCTTCCATGATCTACATACATTGCATTATGAAAGATGAACAGAAATGTGAAAAGATTGCTTCAAATAAACAAATTCTTATTTTAAAAAAAGAATATTAAAAATAAAAGTATTAGAGCAAATAGCCACTGTAAACTATTGGCAAACCCAAGTAAATGCATACACTAAGAAACATAAATACTCACAACCACCAGGACCTTCTAATTTTCTAATTGTCCTAATGAGGAGAGTGATTGATCCCACGCTCTTGACTTGTCCATGTCAAAGTGATGTAAGGTTACTCCTCACTCAGGTGCTACGTCACATCTCAGTCAGGTGCTCCTTGATGGTGACTGGGACCTATTGACGAAACCATAGCCCCTCCTCCTGGTCTTGATAGGATAAATATATTGATGGGACCGGACAGATCCCCAGGTCTTGAGAATCAGACTGTCTGCTTTGATCACAGGAGCACTCCAAAAAACTGATTAACATGGATGCAACAGTCAACTACTGTGTGGGACTCCTCAGTCTTCTTCTGCTGCAAGGAGCTCTGCATGTAGAGGGACGGAGCATCTTTAACTCGGGTAAGTCCTCATAGACATTCATTTGAAGTTCTCTTGCTCATTTGATATTCAATGCATTTGTAGTAATTCTATATTGTTTTATTTTCCAGAAAGTGGTTATTTCAGCACAAATGATAACGTAGATGCTCAAAACAAAATTCTAGCCCTTTTACTGCACAAAAGCATAGTTTCTGCTGAAAAGGAAGACCCTCTAGGTAAAATCCTTTATTTACAATAAACAAATTATATTGGTTTGATACTAACAGTTTCCTCAATATTCAGCTATACTGGCCAACAAGTTTGCAGAGTTGGAAGAGGTAAGATGTGCTAGCATCATTCTGTAAATTATTTCTGAACAAGTGAAAATGTTGACAATCCTTTTAGCTGCGTTCACTTAAGAATGACCTGGAAGACAGAGAGGTTATGCTCAAACTGGCTCAAGAGAGACCCATAACTAAAAAGAGGGCTGAGCGTAAGTTGCTGTTCTTTCATTAATCTTTTGTTAGATTTAACAAATTACACATTTTGTTATTTTGTGCCATAAACATCATCAGGTGTAAAAACGTGGTTTGTGTTTTCTCACTGACAGCCTGTTTCTGGAAGTACTGTGTGTGAGACTACATCAGCAATGGAAGAATCAGGCACTGGGAACATTTGCTGCAGAGCACAACATAGCCTTAAAGACCACAACACCTGTATTTATTTTAGCAATAGTATAAATGTACCATATAATGTAAAAATGAAATATATGAAAAGTTGTTAAATTCCAAATGTAAACTTGAATCTGTAAATAATAAATAAATGGCATTTAATTTTGTGCTAAATGTATAATTTTACAATAAAAATACAGAATAGTTTCAGTTTGTGTTGCTGCATTGCAACAGTTCTTTGCTATTACAATACATACTCCTTGTATTCCTGTTAAGTTTAAACAAAATAAATTGTCTGTTCTCTTGAAATTCCATGTTGTGTTTACTCATGTAAATGCAGAAAAATAATTTATAAAAAGTGTGAAGTTGTGTGAAGTGTGAATGTTGAATGTGACAGCTGATTTGTGTTTAGTTGAGATGGAAGTGCTGAGAAAGGTGAAGCCAAAATAATTACTGTAATATATGCTATTTAGTGCTACATCAGCCACATGTAAAATGTAAAAATAAAACGTGTGTGAATAGCACTGGCAGAATTTCGGTTGGAATGTATTTGTCAGAGGATAAAAACATACAACTGTAAGGATTATCAGTAGGAAATGAGCCAGCATCTCCATATCTTTTACTGCAGGCAGCATGTCAACTACTTTTACACCATTGTAAGTCAGTTTATGCTCAGTTTCATAAAATTATACCCTACTGTATATACAAGAATATTTATATAGGCAACTTCCAGACTACTCTGGGTGTGTTTGAGCATGCTGACCATTGAAAACCTATATAATATTAATTGATTAGTATTAATAAATGGAGTATCTGGGTGGGCATTAGGGAAGAGGGCGGGAAACAATTTTCTTGAAGAGCCTTGCTCTAAACAGGAAAATATTCAACAGTGGGATAACACTCACAGCAACAATGGATTCTGGTGTAAAAGGTGAGTTATGCTATGTTTACTGGACTGTTTTATAATAGGCCAATAGCTTTATTTGGGTAATGAACAACATGCACACAAAAAGACACATGTATACTTTGGTTACGTATATTTTGGCTAAGTAAGAAATATATAAAATATAACGATAGATAATAGATAGATTGGCTAAGTAAGAAAACTGTAAACAAAAAACAATAACAAAAACAAAGGTATATCATGTGTAGTATTGAATATTTCTACTTTTGTTGTTTAATTGATTTCCCATTTAACATTTGTGCAATAACAAATACATTTACTAATAAACTGCAACTATATAATTTGATTATTATATTATATTGATATAATTAATATATAATGTTGTAAACATTGTCCCCCAATTATTAGAAATGCAGAAACTATGATAAAAGTTTGATATTGTACAAAGATGCAGTTGTAACTTTGAGAACATTTCTTTTAGTGAATGATTAACTTTATATGCTTATGGAATCTCATTTTGGTTTTTGTCACAGGTATCACAGGTATCTTTTGGGCCATTCTTGCACTTTTTCTGTTCTCAAACACCTCCAGTCAAAACACCTGCCCAAGTGTCTGCATCTGCCACCCTTCACGGGCTGTAAAGTGTGTTGGCTATACAATCACTGATATACCTGTAGGGTTGCCGGTCCACACGTACCTCCTTCAAATGAACGATACCAAAATGCACGTCATCAATGAACGAAGCCTTGACAACCTGGACCTGCTGTTGCGCTTCAGCCTGACCAACAGTCACCTCCACACCATCCACCCCAAAGCCTTCGCTGTAGCCCCACAGCTCAAGTCTGTTAAACTCTCCTTCAATGATCTTTCTGCTGTCCCTGTAGGAGTTTTTTCTCCCCTGTCAACTCTGGAACAACTTCAGTTAGATGGGAATCAATTGGCAAATATTGCACCAAATATGTTAGAAGGACTTATTGGGCTAAAAGAGCTCGACTTGAACCGTAATAAGTTGTCCAGCCTCCCCGCTGATCTTTTTGACGGACTGACAAATCTGACATTTCTAAATCTTGGAAGAAACTCCATAAAAAAATTGCCTCCAACTATCTTTCATTCATTGATCCAACTTCAGAAGCTAATGATCTATAACAATGAACTTGATGTTCTTGAACCTGGGATGTTTGATACTCTTGTCAAACTTGAGGAACTCAAAATTCATTATAATCAGATCAGCAGTCTTCCACCAAAGGTTTTTTGGTCATTGAAAAAACTGAAGATTCTTACTCTATCGTCCAATCAACTCCAGGCTGTCCCAAAAGAGAGCTTCTATCACATGCCTAAGCTAACTAAGCTCACCCTCTACAATAATCCTCTGCTAACTCTGCCTGACCAACTCATGGGCTACATGCCAGACATGAAGGAGTTCTATTTGTTTTCCACCAATCTTACAACTGTTCCTGACAATTTATTTGCTAATATGTCAGGCCTAATAGCTCTTAACTTTCACCTCAATGACCATCTTAAAGACCTCCCTTCTAATCTCTTCTGTTGTCTCCCAAATCTGTACAAACTATCATTGAGAAGAAATGCACTGGAGCACCTACCACTAAATCTTTTTTCCAGTTTGACCAGTCTAGGAATACTTCTTCTCAATAACAACAACCTGAAGAACATTCCAGACAATACCTTCCATGGACTATCCTTGCTATCCACCATAGATCTAAAGAATAACATCTTGAAGGCAATCCCAGGCGACTCCTTTACATCAAACGTTGCTTTAAGAGCTGTTAGTTTGAGTGGTAACCCTTGGGACTGCACTTGTGGCATAAGAAGTATTGTAAGTTGGCTCAAACAAAATGATCACTTGGTTCCGGACAGACAGGATGTGATATGTTATAGTCCAACTTACCAGCGTCTCCGTACACTGGAGTCTCTCGAAGAAGATTATTTTAAATTTTGTGACTTGGTTACTGCAAAAACAACAACTACTGCTACTACAAGTACATCACAGGCTCAAGATACCACTCCACTTCTTACTACTACTTACTACTACTATATTGCTGCTTATCTTACTTCTCCTGCTACTACTACTACTACTACTCTCACTACAACCACTTCTTCTCCTGCTACTACTACTACTACTACTCTTACTACTACCACTTCTACTTCTACTACTACTACTCTTACTACTACCACAGCTACCCCTACTACTACTACTCTTACTACTACCACTGCTACCCCTACTACTACTACTCTTACTACTACCACTGCTACCCCTACTACTACTACTCTTACTACTACCACTGCTACCCCTACTACTACTACTCCTACTACTACCACTACTACTCCTAGTACTACTACTCTTGCTACTACCACTGTTACCCCTACTACTATGTTTACAACTTCTGTAATTACTACAATACAAACTGCATTGGAAAATATAGTGCCTACTGCTCTCTTTAGATCTGTTCCATTTTATGGCACGCTGGTTCTCGAGCAGGGCCCAGACTATGTTCACCACAATGTTCGGAATGGTTGGGTGTATGTGTGGTTTGTGCCCTCAGATACTGCCCTGACTGGCTTTCTAGTGTCTCTACACATCCTCTTTGTAGCAACTGCATTTTTTCTCATTCTTTCTGCCTTGTATGGTATGCACCGCCTCAGTGAGATAATGGGGAAATTAAATGCTCAGTCTGTACATTTGTGAGGAGGGTAAAATAAGATGTCACACTGCAAAACATGGATACTATAACTTGCAAATATTTGATGTAAATGTAATACAGCTGAAGTTTTATGTGTTATTATTGCTCAGAAGTTTAAATAAATAATTCTTAACACATCTCAAGCCAAGTGAAACTGCATTGTGTGAGTTTCTGTACTTTCATTACTGCGTGATCTTCCTGCCTCTCCCTTCTGAAATTACAGCTGAACATTTTTTAAACATCTGGTATCTGCTTTAGATGGGGTGAGGTAATTTTGAATTTATGCTAACGATCAGACCTGACTATACTGACTCTAAGTACGTCAAAATATTTTATCTGAATATTGCACTGCCATTCTCTTGGCTAACAAAAAAACTTCAAAGGGTAGGATAGTGTTTACCACCACATTTTTCACAAAACAATGTAACCACAAAGTAATCCCAAAGGACACTAAACTGTTTCCTCCAACAATGTTCAATGCTGTGACAAACTGTGCGTCAAAGGCAAACCATGTATTCAGGATAGACTATACTATATTCAGGATAAACAAAAGTATAGACACGTTCATTTTCTGGTTCAACATCTGCCACCAGCCTTATCTCCATGGAGATGTTATTGCTTTTACTTGAATGTTCTACAGTATGGCATTATACATATTTATCTCAATGGATGTAAATGGCTAATGAGGCAAGTTATCAGTTAAATTTTTTACAATTTATTTTAAAGCAATTAATAACATATGTAATTGATTAAATGCAAAAAAGATAAGTTGAATGCCACACCCTAAAAATACTTTGGCATACAAATATGACCCAAAAAAATGTATTTCGATGTAGGCCTATAAAAGAAGAGACATTTGATTTCATGACTTAAAAATATAAATAAAACAACCAACTACAGTGATTTAGTATGATATTGTGAAGATATTGCAGATACCATGAAGAGTGCTCAGACTTTAAACAAACAGTAGACAAAAGAGGAGCATGAACTGGTGAACGGCTCCCAAGTTCGTTACTATAGCGACCAGTGATTAGTCCTTTCCAGTACACTGGGCCCATACAAGCGTATAACCATGGAAAACACACATGCACAGGAAGTGATACAGCAGGGGTCGCAACAGATGATAAACCAGATATTTGATCATAATGTTTGTCAGTGGAATTACAGCATTTTAAACTATACTATATTACATTATGTTTTAAACTATATTAAACAATATTTAATTATTTTACTGTTTTGTTTATGTGATACCCTACAAAAACTATGCATCTTAACACCTCCCTTTAGACAGTTAACTCCACCCTCACTATCTAGAGCCTCTGGTGAGCAGACCAAATGGCTAAAGGCTTAAGTTGTCTTATATTATCTATATGATGGATGGGGTAGCAGCACAAAGCACAATTTGTACATTTTACAACACTGTCTTATTTGTTTTTCAATGTAACATATGGAAACAACTAAGGGGTTAAGTTTAGTTTAATTGTACTAATTTTGGAAGCCTTCTCTCTAGTCATTTATCTTCCAAGAGGCAAGACTAGGACTGCCAAGGGTTCCATGGTTTTTCAAAAACTAAAAATAAATAAATAATGGTACTATTTTGTTAACAAGCCACAATAAGAAAAAAACACATTTAGGTTTAAAATGTCAGAAGACACAATGATAAAATAAAAAACATCCAGCAAATTCAAACTCTAAAGAGGGTAGCAGTGGGTGGGGTTAACTGTATACCCACACTCAGTTGTGAAAGAGAGTACATTCCCGCAGAGGCAGACAACAGGAAAGTGAGCAATGTGTCAGTTTTAATCCTACAGAGTTGAGAACAGAGCAAAAAAATCTTTCATTACGGAAATCGAATGAGCCAACCCAGGAAGAGGTGATGAGGAGTATTTTATTTAATACTGGAAATTTCTCTTTCCATTGGAGGTTTTTGTTTTTGAGAGACAGGTCATAAATACAGCTACTGTTGCTCACTGCCCTTCACTGAAACCCCAGCAAGTAGAAAGGTAAGATCATCTAATTTTATTTTATAAGTAGTTCTGTAATTTGTAAGGAATTTAAATTTTGTTTACTGCATTTATGTTACTTTTGTAAGGTTCTCATGCCATTTAAAATAACACAGAAGCTTAATGAATGTTCAAAATACAAAATATGATTTGATAGAGAAGCTTACAATTGATAAAAGATCAAAGCTAAACATATCAAACCAAGTGACCATCTTCCCTCTCTCTCCCCCTTTCCTTTTTTGCAACCTTTTACTTATTACTATAACTATGGCATACTTGTTTTAATGTCAGTTATTGATTTATATTCAGTATAGACCTGTGTAAGTGTAGACATTAAAATTTCATTCGTGCTCCTGGACTTGAACATATGTGTTTCATTAAGATTATGTAATAGGCTAAAACCTCATGCCTGGCTCACAAACCTAGCAAGTCTGGGTTTTTAATGATATGAACAATACTACAATTTAAGATTTGGACTGGTCATTAGACTGGTCATTAGAAGAGAAAATGTAATCTTCTGAGAATACTTAAAGCTGTTCAAGTACAGACGCTGAGAGTGGAGGTAAATTCTGCTTTATGTGGGAATGTGTGCTTGCATTTTAAATATCCCTGATCTCCTGCCATGGGGTGGCTTGTGCCAGGCCTGTGTTTATAGAGAGACAGCCTCTGTTGGCTCAACTTTGTCATGCAAATCTGTAACAAACTAGCATTCAGTGGGATGTAGAAAAGTAAAATATATTGCGTTTTAGGTAACAGTACAAATTGTTATTTAAGATGCTTTCCTTGTCATTACATAAAACACCATATGCACAGGTACAACCAAATAGATTAGATAATCAAAAACAACCCAGGAAGCCAGCAGTTTTCACACCGAGGAAAGGCTAAAATTAGCAGCAATACAATTCACTAAAATTGATTTAATACAAATGTAATTACATATTCATTTAGCATAATAACCTAAATCCTTTTCATCTGGGATTGGGAGAGTCACAATATGAAACTTTTTGGGCTTCATAGACTAAAATAATAACATGTTTAAGGTTGTTTTGGCTATGCTTACTACATCGAAAAGCATGTCCTTACTCTGACTAGGCTTGTATCCCCACAGACCTTACTCTTATTTGTTATATACTGTATACTTTTAATAATGACCGCATGTGTCTGAGTCAGGTAAAATCAAAGCTAATAATATAGAACTCAACAGCTTATACTGGCAGATTGAAGTATTTGGAATGAGAGCTTTAGAACAAGTGATCATTCAAAATAGAAGACACATGCCACAGTAACACATTTTTTTCTATTTTAGGAACAGAATGGCCCTGGTTTCACATGTGATCCTGCTTGTGTGTTGGGCCAGCGCTGTTTTGGCGTGTCCAGATTCCTGCGTTTGTCAAGATCCTCGGCTCGTCTGTAATAAATTAAACACTTTTCCCCAAAATCTCCCCTCCTCCACCAATGCCATCTATATATCAGACTCCAGCATTGCTTCTATTAAACAAGAAGACTTCAAAGATTTCGCCGATCATCTACAAGAGTTCATGATCAAAGACACCCCACTGACAGAAGTGCAGCCACATACATTGGACCTCACTGTAAATATGGTTGTTTTAGGGATAACTGGGACTGAACTTCAAGATCTCCCTGATGCCCTCTTTCAAAATCTCCACAAACTTGAGAAATTAAGTCTAAAAGCCAACAAACTTACAGTCATTCGCTCAAACTGGTTCACATCTCTGGTTAATCTCAACATTCTTGAACTAACTAAAAATAACATCAAGTCCATTCCTGCCTTTGCCTTCCAGTCACTCAGTAATCTAAATTACCTTGGTCTTAATTATAATGAAATAGCTGAAATATCAAGTGATGCATTCAAAGGTCTTTCAGAGCTGAATATCTTACGTCTGAACAAAAATTTGATAAAAGAAATTCCTTCTGGCTGTTTTGAAGAGCTTGAAAAGCTGCAAGAGCTAGCTTTACAAGATAACGCAATCACTAACCTTCACAGTGACACCTTCTCAAAAACACAATCTCTCCAAAAGCTGTTTTTATCTCACAATCAGATTACATATCTTCCAAATGGGATATTCCTAAATTTGCCCAAGCTTTCACAGATTTCCTTGTACGAAAACCAGTTGGAAAGTTTTGGCCCTGGAGTGTTTGGTCAAATGCCGCTAAGGCAATTGTGGTTGTATGATAATAAAATAAGCCATATAGCCGATGACACATTCAGAAATCTTACCCTACTTGAGTTACTGGTCCTTAGTCGCAATCAGATCAGTCACATATCTGGTAACGCTTTCCGAGGTTTGGAGCAACTTGGAGAGGTGTCCTTACACACAAATCTTCTGACAACTCTACAAGATGGGACATTCCAAGGTCTTCCAAAATTATTGAACATTTCTTTAGAGCACAATTTCATCAAGGGTCTTCCTTATGGGTTTCTTGAAGGAGTGAGCCACCTTAGTCAGATAGACTTACGGAATAACTCCCTTGAAAACTTCCCACAACACACTCTGGATTCTTTTTCTGTTGTAAATGAAATTCTTCTTCATCCCAATCCTTGGCGGTGTGACAAGGATATAGTGCCCTTTAGAAACTGGCTGCTACAGAATCCATCAAAGACCAACCAAACTTTAATTGTATGTGGCATGCCAACCAGTCTAGAAGGTGAAATGATTGTTTTTTTGACAGATGAAAGCTTGATGCTGAGTACCACGGGACAAACCATAGCCATCACAACAATGAAGGCTGACCCCCAGACTCCTCCATTCAGAAAAAGCACTTCCTTACCAACACTGAAAACCACAACAACAACCTCAAAAATGGTGGAAGTTACAAGCGGCAGTGGCCAACCGGAAGGAGAAACGTCAGCAAGGAATACCTCAGTAATCTTGATAATAATATCAGTCGTCACAGTTGTAATTGTGAGCATGATCCTTGTGAGCTGTGTGAGTTGGAGGAGGAACAAAACCGGCAGAGGGGAGATTGCATGCAGAAATAAAAACTCTGTGCTCTAAGGAAGCACCAAACAATGAAACTGCTCACTGTGTTTTGGTGAAAATTGAAATCACAAGAAATGACTTTGTATACAGAGACTTTTCATTGTACTGACCCTCTATTCTTTACTAATGAGGTGACAAATGAAATGATGAATGATAACATTATAATGCACCATTAACTTTGATGGTGGAGGAACTGATTTCCATGAAGATGTTATTGCTTTGCCTGGAATGTTTTACAGTATGTCATTAAAGGGGACATGATGCAAAGTTGATTTGTAAGAGCTTTTAACCATGTTTTAAAGTAATTCTCCATAAAGACTAGCAAAGGGTGGAGAAAGGGGTGGTCCCCCAACCAGAAAAGTTACATAGTGCACTGGAGGTTTCATTGTTTACTTGGCTGTATAATAACTCACTATAGCACAATTTGTCTAACAGATATGTTACCTGATTAGACAAGGTCATAATCATAAAATGAAGGAGTTATCTCTCTCTCTCTCTCTCTCTCTCTCTCTCTCTCTCTCTCTCTCTCTCTCTCTCTCTCTCTCTCTCTCTCTCTCTCTCTCTCTCTCTCTGGAATACAAGCACAAAAATGGAATGTCAATTGTACCAAACTTCTTGAAGGATACAAAAAAAATCTACTTTGTACATCTGTATTTCAACCTAATTTTCTACAACTATTTCTATTTTAATATTCATTCATTATTACTCTGTTCAGAAATTGTAAAAAAATATTAATGCAATCTACAATTGCACCAAAAGATGGCGCCATGACAGCCCAAACACATCTCACTTCTCACGCGCATGATAAACTGCGTTTAGACTACTACATGTTTTAAATATAATGCGTTCTACACCTTTATTACCTTTTTATTCCTAGATCAGGGTCTCCAACTTTCAGCTCTGGGGCTACCAGAAGCTTATGAATTTGACTATATGTGTGCTGAATAACTAAAATTTGCACAATTAAATGCCTACTACCATTGTAAATGTTAATGTAAATGTAATTTTAATATAATTGTGATATCTTTTTAAATTGTATTCTTTGTTCATTGCTTTTAAGTGTTAAGAAAAGAACCATATAAATAAAATGTATTACACTGTTATTATTGTTATTATTATTTTTATTATTCACCAAAAAATCTATAATGATTACTGTTTTGTAAGCATCTAAAGGTCTTGACATGGATCTTATACAGCCTACTAAATTTTTTGCAACCACTAAAATTAGTAGCTTTCAGGCATTTTTGTTTTGTGAAGGTAGCTCACTGGAGGATAAAGGTTGGAGACCCCTGCCCTAGATTATTCAGATACACTGGAGGTTTTTGGTGGTCATTTTTATCTAAATCTTGTTGTTTTCAAATAAATATAATAATATAACGACTCACACGTTGTTACTATATCTGAGTTTGTGGGTTGTTATTATAAGCCTCATTAGCAGCCATATTAGCAGTTGTCTATTGCAGCTCTTATCTCTCAGTGCAGTAGTGATGTGCCCCTCCTCTCAAATAAACCCCTCTAGCCATCAGCCTGCTGTCCCACTTTGATATGATAACCACTGCAACAACTCCATAAACTCCATAACATTTGTAAATACGGACAAAATCAGGTAAGTCTACTATTGTGAGAAATTGTAACAAATTTGTAGACATGACCTGCTAACTATGCCATTTTCATAGATATGTCAACAGGAGGACTTTTTCTTGTATTACTTTTCCTTCTATTTGAGCCATTATTACTACAAATCTCACCAAAATGTGAGAAAGAAACTGACTGTCCGACTGAAAATCAAGTTGTTTTTGGAAAAAGTACAACTGAAATCCCACGCACGCTAAAACCTGGAGCCACTGAGGTCTTCTTTGTGGACAGTGACATTACATCTATTCCAAAAGGTGCGTTTATTGAAAATCCTCAATTAGAAAAAGTGGAATTTATGAATGCCAAGATAGAGTCTGTAGAGCCTGGAGCTTTTGAAGGCTTGGATAAAGTAATCAGTTTTGAAATCTCCAATAGTCCATTAACATCAATCCCAGTTGGTGTTTTCAATGATTTTAGTAATTTGGAGACGCTTGTGCTGAAATTCAACAAGTTGCTTACACTCGAGAAAGGACTTTTTGATGGTCTGAGAAAACTAAGAGAACTACAGCTGCATGGAAATGTCATCCACATAATTGAAGACAAAGTTTTTGATGATCTTGGGAAACTTGAAATGCTCCATTTGGCTAAAAACAGTCTCTCAGAGGTGGCTACTTCCTGGTTCGCCAATTTGACCAAACTGCAAAAGCTTCGTCTTTATGAAAACCAGCTGACGTCCATTCCTGAGGATATTTTTCAAAACTTGCCCAACCTAAAGGAAATTACCCTGCACAGTAATAAAATATCAAACCTACCACCAAATCTATTCCCACATAAAGACAGACTTACCATTCTCACTTTGGAAAATAATCTTTTGACTAATTTGCCTCAAGAGTACTTTGTTGGTTTTCCTCAGCTTAAAACACTGACTCTAGCAAAGAATCAGTTGACTTCCTTACCACCAGTGCTTTTTGGAGAATTGCCAAAATTAACAGACTTGAGCTTCAGTGGGAACAATCTTAGCAGCTTGCCTAAAGGAATCTTCACACCATTAAAAAAAATTAAGAAACTTGATCTATCCAAGAACAATTTTGTTTCTTTGTCTCCTGAGTTTTTTGAAGGAACAAAGACTCTCACTGAGATTAATCTAATGCACAACAAGATAGTGTCACTTGAGGAAAACATGTTTGAAAATTTACAAACACTAATTACGCTTAAACTGAGTGATAACCATCTGCAAAACCTTCCGGAAAATATCTTTACTCCTTTGACCAAAGTAAGAAAGCTTTTCCTTAACAACAACCCCTGGCTCTGTGACTGCAATTTCATACCATTTTACAACTGGATGAAGGACAATGCTGACAGAATAGCTTCTCCAGTGAATTGTGGCCAACCAGAAAATATGAAAGGACTAGAAATATTGTCATTAGTGGAAGATCAGTTGATTTGCCCAACACTCCCCCCTACCACTACTACTACTACTCTACCAACTACTACTACTACTGCTCCTATGACTACTTCCACCCCAACAACCCAACCAACTACCACCACTACTCCGACCACACAACCCCCAACTACTGCAAGTACACAGCCTACCACAACTCCAACTGTTACTACTACTACTACTTCTCCTACTACGACTCCTCCTCCTCCTCCTACTACTACTACTCCTACTACTACCCTTACTACTCCTACTACTACTCCAACTCCTACTAGTACTACTCCTACTATCACTCCTACCACTCCTCCTACTACCACTCCTCCTCCTCCTCCTACTACTACTATTGCTACTACTACTACTCTTCCAACTACTACTTCTATTACAACCACTCAACCCACTATTACCACTACCATACCAACAACTACTACAATTGTAACTACACTGCCAACAAGCACTATTGCCATAACAACCAAACCGACAACCACTCAATGTACCACCACAGCTGTAATGTCAACCACTGCACTGCCCACTACTCTAATGACTACAACTTTACGAACCACAACTAAACCTATAACCACTTCAACTATACTATCAACCACTAAACTGGCCACAACCACGCCCGTGACTACATTTAGGACTACTACTGAGTTAACTACAATTAAAACAACTACTACACCACCAACCACTCCAATTCTTGTCAACTATTCCATTCAACCAGAAACAGAAGTTCAGTCATCTGAAGTCTACCAATACTCAAGCAGATTGCAACAGTGTAAAGTACAGATGATAATTTATACCTCAATACTAATACTGGAAGTGGTTTATACACTGGTGCTGGGTAAATACACGTTTTCTCTTTACCGGCTTCTTCAGAGCAGTGAGGAGGTGAGCCACTGGGTCAAACTGACTCGGTTCACGCACAGGAAGAGCGTCATCCTGCAGCCTATAGGGCAAGACTATGAGAGACTGTGAGATATTGTATGTAAGTTAATGGACATTATAACAGTTATTGTCTTGCATGGTTTTAATTTAAATGTACATGATATATCAAAACGAAATGTGGCTTTTTCTATATATTTTAAACAAAGTAACAATGTACATTTGAACGTGGAGTTACAAAAAATACTTCTGAAATTGAAAATGTAATGCCTACTTTACTACTAAGCAAGGTAAAGAAAAAATATTTACTCATCATTTTCAAAAAGTTGTAATCCATAGACTAAAACGCTCAATCGCTTTTTGTTTTTTTTTTTCTTCCCATGAAAGGTAGTATTTTCAATTGTCCAGCAGACGGAGCTAGAGATTTACAATATTTTAACCACTGGCTTTGAAAACACGCCATGTATACACATTTGTTAATGTGCTTGAATTAATAAAATATGAGTTTGTTAATCAGCATGTGTTCTGAATGTTATGCACATCAGGAAATGAAGTTGATATTGTTTTTTTAAATTTTATTATTTATTTTTATTTCTGTTTGTAACTAACCCCTTTTTTCTACAAACCCAGTATTTTCTGTATCTTACGTTTTTAATAATGTTTCAATGCAATTCATGAGCTGCTATGAATCATGTTGCAATAAAAGTCTGTTGGGCTCCACGATTAGTTAAAATTAATTTAAATTCCACTGTTACGGCAAAAGAAAGTCGTTACAGATTGCATACTGTGCTATGGTTTAAAATGCACAAAATTCTTCTCTTTCTAAATTAGGCAAACTTATCACAATGTCTCAAATGACACGAAACCCTGCAGGTCGTGATAATGAGCCTGAAAAAGAGCTGAGAAGGTAATTGTGTGTGAAAAGGGTAATGCACTGAGGAATAGATGACATAAAATCAGGAGAATACCATTACCTCCCGAATAAGACATTTCAGCTGGAAAATAGTTTGCTTCAAGCTGCCAGATGCTCAGCTGGGACACAACACTTGTTTTTATTTATTTATTTTTGCATTGTCAATTGGTGTAAAATGCAAAGCAAACCAATTGGCTTTTTTTTTTTTTTTTTTTTTTTTTTGGCAAATGATACATTGTCTATATTACCCAGATATTTTAAAATGTATATAATACCATTTTAACATAATATTGCTGAGTGATGCCACATTTAGTTAAGGACATGTACAAAGACAATAATATTTGTCTTTTGAAGAGATTGGGTTCACATTTTATGATTTTAAAATTACAACACCTGGGTCAATAACATATACAAGGTTAAAAAAATGTCCATTGAGAACCAAAATCAAATGTAATTTTAGCTAAAGATGAAATTCAACCAGGAAGTGTTGTATTTCCTTTGTCCTGATTGTCAACTCTCTGTTGTCCGCAAATGACTTCTAAAGTCCAGCAGTCCCTCAGCCCTCCCTCATGGATTGAGCTGTGTTACATCCTTCGTCTGCCCTTTCCATCTTCTCTTCCACATTCACAGTTTCTAAAGAGGAGATGTTTTCCCTTAACTGCCTGATTTTTTACATTTTTATCTGCTGAAAGTTCACTGTGTAACTTTGTAATAGGGGGTTCACCACCTGTTTGACTCCATGGTAATGTTATTGCTTTGGAATGCTCCACAGAATGGCATTACACATATGTAGCTTGTATTCAATTAAATACATAAAAAAAAAAACACTTTATATAACATATTATTACTTACTTATCCACACATTGGGTCACACATTGGGTCACACTGTGACCTAATTGGCAGGGTCATCACTTTCTTGTCTCAGTGAAGATAAATACGTTTAATGCAATATTGTGGAACATTCCAAGCAAAGCAATGTCATCTTTATGGTGACAAAGTGTCTGACACCCTTAAAAGTGGATATAGGGTGTGTCTTTAAGTTTCTCCCGGTTGAAAGGTTTTTAGTTAGAATTATGCCCATGTTATCTCACCCACAGTGGCACCAAATCCCAGTCAAGTATGTTTTGTGCTGAGGGGTAACCATGGGTCGTGGCATTACACACACACACACACATATTGGCCCCTCTGTGTCCACCTGCCCCCCCGGTCTCCAGTCGAGCCATCTGAGTCCAATCTCTGCCGACCAGCTGCAGCCCCCGGGAGAGCTCCAAACCACGGAACAAGGGTCACCATGACACCTCCACTGGATCGGCTATAAATAAGAGTCTGTCAGGTGGTACATGTGGGAAACAGAGGACACAACTGCACAGGGAGCCTTAATGTTATATCCAGGTAAAAATAGCATCAAGGTACTCTGGAAGTGTTTAAAGGTCCTATATTATGCAAAATTGTGAGCGCTTGTGAGCTTTAAGTCATGTTAAAATGTTGTTACCTCCTCAAAAATACCTGGAGTTGTGTTTTGATTTACTCACACATGTTTGAGTAACACTTTATTATTAGTCTGTCTATCTAGATCTCCAAAGTTAAAAAAGCTATTTTCCACCTTGTAATGTCATGAAGTGGTAGTTTTCAATGTAACAGCTGCCTTTTACCTTTTCTTCAGAGATTGGCAATTGAGTTTATTGTCTTCATGTATTACTGCCTGACATGACAAGGTGGAACAGAGTTTTCTGTTTGAGAGAACAACTCAGACTAAATATACAGACTTTGTGTGTTAAACATGTGTGAATGAAACAAAACACAACTCCAGGTATGTTTTTGATGAGGAAACAGCATTATAACATAGATCAGAAAATAGTATAATAACAACCGTTTAACTAACGTTTTGGTTTATGCTTCTCTTGAGTTTAAGGAAGCTGCAAAAAAAAAAAAAAAAAAAAAAAAAAATCAAACAGATTGGAGTTATCAGTTTGATAATCTTTTAAGACACTCCAACTCCAAAAAAAAAAAATTACACATACTCAAAAATAACTGTTCTTTTTGTCTTTCTTTCATCCATAGTGGTAAGTTAACTCAATCTAACTGAGACTGACAGAAGTGTGTCAATACCTACGTACCCACTCCTACCTCCACTAACCACTCATACATGAACACATTTGGACACTGGCAAAATGCGACACAACAGACACTGCAATTTTAAGCATCTTTTCTTAGAATAATTTTAAAAAGAAATCCACCACTATTTATTAAGACTCAAATCCAGAGACATGACATAAACAAATCTTTTATAGTAAAACCTGTAAAAACAATAAAGGAAGATAGAAAAAAGTATTACAAGCTTTCTCAGTATAACTGCAACTGCTTAGACAGGCTTTCTACCAAGAGAAATGGTTGTAAATTTGATCAATACCAGTCATTCTGTGCAATGAATCATCCACACTAAGCCAAAAACACTGACGAAGATATGAATGCCAGCAGTTATAGTCATAAACCAAGTCTAAAATACTTAGGGGTATAGTGAACACAGTACATTTCATAGACTGAAGTGACTATAGTGCCCAGCTGATAAGAGAATAAATCTTAATCATTTTTTTGCTAATGAGACTTATTCAGCTGAGTAAAAATGGTCTGGAATAATGACATGTCAAGACTATGAGGAATATGCACAGAAATAGGTTTAATAGAGAAATTGTGTGTCTATTTTTAGCTTGCGCTCTTGTCCTCCATCTAAATTTAGTAAAGAATTAATCATCGTGGGTGCCCAGACAGTAGGGAGTGGCTTGGCTTTGTTTAAGTAGTTTCCTTGAGGTCGATTGTGTGCTCGGACCAATATTTAGAGAACATTTGATTTTTGGAATAATTTGTACCATACTCAGATCATAGTGTCTTTGACTTAATGGGGTCCTTCACCTTCATCATAACACATTTTGATAGTAGGCATCACGCAGGACACAGAGGAACACTTTAGTTTTCAATAGCCACATTCAAAGCCAGATATGTCCCTACAACATGTTCAGTATTTTCAAAGAGAGGAAGAGATAGTGAGAATGAGACAGAGACTTTATTGATCCTGAGAGAAATTCACTCATCCATGATCTGACACCTTGTTGTGGTGGATGGGTTTGTGCCTTTCAATGATCCAAAGATCTTAACCAGGTGAGGTTTATACAGGTGATGAAATGGTTTATTCCCTCAAACTATTTCCTCTGGAAGGTCTCAGAGTATTTCCTCTGGAAGGTCACAGAGTATGTCCTCTGGAAAGGTCTCAGAGTATTTCCTCTGGAAGGTCTCAGAGTATTTCCTCTGGAAGGTCTCAGAGTATTTCCTCTGGAAGGTCACATATGGTGTAAAAAGCCTGTAGCATCTCAAAGATCCATAGCTAGCTCCCTAGTTAGCTTTTTAGCTCTCTTGCACAGTCTCCATGGATACGGGAAAACCAAACAGTTCATTCTACACAATCCAGCAGTCCCCTTTGAACTGCACATGATGCAACTTTTAGTGGGTTAAGAATTCCATGATATGATGTTTAAAACTGACCTAAAAAAAACCTAAGTGTTTCAAAAGCTGCTCAGTGTGTTAGCCAGGTAGTCACAAAAGGAGCCAACCACTCTGTTGCTGTGGGAATAGCAATATACTCCATCCAAGATGATTGACCTTTTTGCCTATAGCCAAAAATTATTAACATTATTATCCATTTTTAAGTAGAGCTCAGAAACAGACTTGACTATATTGTTTCAGAAGGGAGATTTATTATTTGTTCTGTGTCAGCAAAAATGGGGATTTCTTTACATAAAAATAAAAATAGAGGTTTTAATTAATCTACATATCACTGCCATAGGGGTTAATAGATTACGTAAATTATATGTTTTCCTCCTCTTTAGGCATGCAGAGCTTTAGCTGCTTAGACAGTTTTCTCAGTTTAAGTCCAGTCCTTTTTATGCTTATTGTGAGATAATTACAGTTGTTTGCCTGAGGTGTGCTGTGTTTATGTAGGCTTACCTTATCTATCTTTTATCAGGCAGTTCATTAAAAAAGAACAATTGCAGATAATATAGTTTTTTCTGTAACACATTTTCAAGGTTTTATACATAATTGTGGTAGTTTACTCTTTTGTCTGCTGGCTGCTGTTCAAAGTGAGACTATTTTTAGATTTAACCATTCAGATCAGCTTCAAACATTAAAGACTGCAAATGAAATCTTGCAAACAAGCAACTACAAAGTCTGTCAGCTGAACAAGGCCACTTTAAGGAGCATGATTTTCTCACACACAATTTTAAAACTGTACTGTGTGGACAAAAGTTGCATCCAAGCAAAAAATATTAGGTGATTATGTTGATTTAAATAAATACTAATTAACTTTAAATAGTCTAAATTCTAAACTAAATATCTGTTGATATTTTGCAGCTGATGTCAACATTCCCTGAGGGTTGTGAAGCTAACTGAAAGCACTACTCTGTTAAAAGTCTTTTGAACACAGTTTGACCAGAAAGAACAGACTTAGACCAAACTACAACAGATTTGTGCTTTTAAACAAGTCGCTCACACAGAAAATTAATCACAAGCTAGCTAGCAATAGCCAGCAGTTTTTAATCATTCCTCTCTCC